TATTTATTCGTTAACATTCATTTTCTTTATCTGTTAACCCACAGTTATCTAATGTAATCTCTATTAGTTTGTTATACACCTATTCCTTATCTTTTATCGCAATCTGTTTACTTTCAACTTACATGCTATATTCTCCTTTATTTTTATTTTTATTCATACTTATTTTCAATTTGTTTGTATCTTCTACATATATAATACTTAATATTTTAACTACATTGTCACCCACTATATCTCTGATATCATCTTTTTATTTCTGTATCTGACAACTTCTTCTTATTTTATATCTATTTATATTTATTTTTTATTTTCAACATGTTTTGTATCTTTTGTAGCCCTGAAGACGACCTGCAAAGTGGGTCGAAACGTCGGCAAAAATTAAATAATTACTATATTTTAATTTAGTATTTATTTGACCGCAACCCCCAATTAACTCCTCATATATTCTATATGGTTCGCCAGATTCATATTCTTTTTAAATTTCTCAAGTGCCTTTCTCCGGAGTCGTACAGTGTTTTTACAATCATTATTAAACCAAGGAACAGGTGGCATTTTGAAATATCCCTTGGTTTTTGGAATTGAGACCTCTGCTGCTGTTAGTATAGCTCCAGTTATAGATTTACAGTCATCATCTATAGTCATACTATTTGAGGGATTTTGAGGCGGGTCGGCTAAAGAAGTGAATAGAGACCAATCTGCTTTTTCTAAAATCCAACTAGGAAAGATGTAATTATTGCAGTTTGAACTTCTGAATTTAAGACGGATTGGGAAACGGTCACTGCTATAAGGTTCTGGTAAACTGTCAGTGAATTGATCAGTGAGTTGCTGCAAATAGATAGATCTCTGGTTGAAAATGTACCAAAGCTTGAACTTATATATATTGCTTAGCCGGAATTCAGAAACAAAGTACTGATAAAATCTAAAAAACTTTCTATGATTTGACCTCTGGAGTTCGTATCTTGTAAGCCTCATAATGGCTTATGGCCATTGAAATCTTCAGTGTACAAAACCGACTTTATCAACTGTCTATTGATATGGATAAGGTGTTCTGCCTCTATGGTAGTCTTGAGTTAGGTAAATGTTGCAAATAGTAAAAGTGATGTTTAAATGAACTCTAACAGCTATAACTTGAAGTGGAGAGTATATTTCTACTTGGTGTGAATAAACCGGCTCTTTTACATCTTTAGCTACGCCTCTACACGCTGGCTAGTAATCTGGACCACAATTTGTCCCATAGATATTGAAGCCTTAAAGGGTGAATTGGTCTGAAGGCTTTAGATGCGTTGCTTGGAGGCATATAAAAAATTGATCTTCATCTTCCATTAATAGTTTCAAATCGTTAAAATGAGTTTTAATACCATCGAAATTCCACAGGATAAGTGTCATGATTTAGGTATGGTATAGTATAAGAACATTTTTGACATATTTGGAATTGAAATTAATACTACAGAGTGGCTACCAAATTGTCAAAGTAAAATTCCCTAACTATTCCCTGTTTAATGAAAGTTTTCCCTGACCAATATGTCAATGGACACAAAAATTAAAAATATATAGTTTATAACTAATTAGTTTATAATTATAACTATATATATAATTTATAACTATTTAATTTATCATACATGATTGAAAATTGAAAGATTAGAGTAAAAAAAAGTCTGTTCAGTCATTTAAAAAACAAATATAATGTTCAAGAGAAAGCCTTTTTTAAACATGATTAGGAACTTTTTTTTTCATTTTAGAAAACTGACATTAAGTAATTTATTTTTATAGCCTATTTACTAATACTTTAAGCACTTTATTTTCATAAAGTAAGAGTACGTAAAAGGTGATACTTAACACTTTTATCTATTATGAAATAAACTGAGCTATGGGCTATTCTTATTTTCATGTAAAGCAATTTAGTTTTTTTATTGCCACAAAAAGAACAATAATTATCCATACGATACAACCTGTGAGGCGAGATGGCCGAGTAGTTCAGTCAATGAATGATCACAGAAGGAAATGGCAGGGACACAATTTTTGACTTTGGTAGATTGACTAGTAAAGAAATAAACATACTAAAAGTCACGACTCCTAGGTGGTAAGCCAGGTGGGGGGGGGGGGGAGAGACCCCTATAAGGTCACTTTTTTCGGGGTTTCACTTATATCAGGAAAACTATCCATCACATCCAAAAAGACGTTCTAAACACAATTAAAGTGGGGGCGGGGTGGCCGAATAGGCTAAAGCTTGTGTAACAGCACCACTAGTTGCCTGGCAACCGGATAACAGAGATTTGAGATGATATAAAAAGTAAGAGTTCGCGTCCCGGTGCCGGAGGGGATTTTAAATTTCCCCGCCCTCACCCCCCGGCCCGGGAAAATCCCGTATAGCCTAAAAGGCGAGGTAGAGAAGAACAAAAAAAAAAAAAAAAAAAAAAAAAAAAAAAAAAAAAAAAAAAAAAAAACCACAATTAAAGTCGATAAAATTTGCCATATGATTGATTCTATACATTTTTTCGCTACCTCGCTTAGTTAGCAAGATATCTATCTTCAACTATTTTGAAGATAGATAGGCGAATTTTGAAGAAAAAAAAATTGCCTGTTTGTTACTGTTATTCGCTTATATCAGGAAAACTATCTATCGCATCGACAAAAATGTTCTATAAAAAATTGAAGTTAATAAAATTGGCAATATGATTAATTATATACCATTTTTCACTATCTTGCTTAGTTTTTGAATTACTTGCCCCTAATTATCACTAATTTGGGAAAAACAATTTTACCACATGTTTTTTACTGTATTTGACTAGCTAACTCTTGGCTGCTTCAATCTTCGATTAGGGCATGAGAACGATAACCTAAATCTATCTAATTTTACTAGTTTATCTTCAACGGTTCAAAAGTTAGATAAATTATAACTTTATATGTCCATTCCGAGAATTTGCAGAAAAAAATTATGTTTATAATATACGTTATTGTATGTATGTATATGTATGTATATATATATATATATATATAGAGAGAGAGAGAGAGAGAGAGAGAGAGTTAGAACAATATAATAACGAATAATATAAAAATAAAATAAATTTTTACTGCAAATTCTCGGAATTGACATAAAAAGTTATAATTGATCTAACTTTTAAACCGCTGAAGATAAACTAGTAAAATTTTATATATATATATATATATATATATATATATATATATATATATCCTCGAAGAAAATTTAATTGTCAAAAACCTTCTTTCCCATGACTTTATCATATAACGATGCAGTCAAGTGTTAGCTAGTCAAATACAGTAAAAAACATGAGGTAAAATGTTTTTTTTCCACATTAGCAATAATTGAGGACGGATGTCTCGGAAACTAAGCAATATAACAAAAAATGGTATATAATTAATCATATTGCATTTAATTTAAAATAGAACCTCTTAGTCGAGTCAATGGATGGTGTTGCTAGGCCCTCCTCTCTCCTCCCCCCACACCTGGCTCACCACCTAACGGTGCTTTTAGTATGCTTACCTCTTCACTAGTCCAAACAATTTCCATAAGTCAAAATTTGAGTCCCCACCACTTGTTTTTATTACCCCTTTTTCGGGCATTCATTAATTCAGGAGGCTAAAGCTGTGTAAAATACACGTTTCCCGGCAACCTTATAAACTCAAGTTTACATGATAAAGTAATTATGAGTTGGTGTCCTGGTGCCATCGGAGTTTTAAACATTCCTTCCACCAAGGAAAAGCTTCGTATAGTCTCAATGTCGAAGGGATGGACCCAAATAAAAAAACTGAGATGTTTCAGGTTTGTACATGCTCATTATAAGAGCATCTAAATCAATATAGAGACCGTTACAATTTATGCTACTAGCCGGCAAATTACATCTTATATTTTCTCCATGTCTTCCCTGACCACATTGTATGGATACTGAAATGAAACTTTTTTACATTGTGATGTCAGGTGAGAAAAACCTAGGCAGTTAACACATCGTAATAGATTTGGTATATATGGCTGTACTCTAACCGTTTCATATCCAATTTGTAATGTTTCTGGAGGTTTAGGAGTTGAAAACGTAACTATATAGTTATGTGTTAGTATTTCGTTACCATTCCATTTTGATTTTATTCTGACGATATCTTTTATTACCGGGGTTAATTCATTCTTTATTTCCTGTATTTCCATGTATTGGAAATCATAACAATGGATAACACCCTTACTATAGTTTAAAGTTTTATGTGGTTTATTTCAACCTACATTTGGCCTCCAAAATCTGTAACTGATAAAAGTCTCTTCGATTGTTGTCTGTTAAGTGTTTGTATCAATGAACAGCCGTCTCAATTTTATTACTGCTTTAACATCACCTGCTAACTGTGCAATCATCTTTTGGATAAAAATGGAGAGGTTTGTTAAAAATCTTCTTGATCGGATCTTTTAGCAACCAGATATGTTGAAGTTGTATCTATGTTTTGCGGAATGAATTTTAAGATTTTTAACTGAATGAAAATCCAGTCTCTAGTTAGATCACTAAGTAATGAAAACTCACATATACAACAGCAGCTAATTCTTGTCTAGGTAAACTTGTTTGATCTCTGGAGGTAATTTGTTTAGGTGATTTCCCATTGTCATAAACAGTGAACTGAGTCCCAAGAAGATTTGATCTCAATTTACCAACAAATGCTTCTCCACCACGTGAGAGATCAGTAGGATCAATGGAAATTAGATAATTGCTAGTGGTACTCTTTTTACGCTTTCTTCCAGCCAATAAAAATATCTGAAAATAAAATAAAATTTTAAAAATCTAGGAAGGGTAACTCAATTAGTCAGCAAATATTGGGAAAGAGAAACTCTCCAACACAGTAATATGACATGAAAAATTATAATAAAAATCTGAAATTAGATAATATAAATTTTGTATTTGAGAGTCATAGATAAGGCTGTGAACACAATGCTGGATTGGGAATATCTACTATATCAAGTGACTTACAAAAAACTAAAATCATATTAAAAACATTATGAATGAAAATACCTTTTTACCATAGTCTCTTTCCAAGTGCAGAAAATATGTAGGATAAAGTCCTCTATCCATACCCTTACGATCTCTAGTTATGCGACATTTATAATGTACATGCTGGGCAGCTGGTTCCATAACAAATTTTTCAAGATTTCCAAAAAAATCACCTTGAATTTCTGAAACCTATCAAAATTAGACATCATGAATATTTAACATGTGATTCACTACTTCTCTGGATGAAATAAATAATTAATAATATACACTACGAATAAATAAAATTAATGCTAAGTATTGATTAACTGCCAAACAAATCCCTTTTGTCAGTTATAATAAATAAATTGAAAAAGAATTTATAAAATACATATATTAAAAACTACTTTAATAAAAATAATATTGGCATTGGATGAAGTCAGACCATCCATAATGCATTTTGTTATCTGTCAAACCTTTGTCAATATTTTCATTGATAGATCAATGTTAAGTCAAGCAACATACATGTCTAGTCCACCCATGACCAGTTTAACAACCAGATTTTTTTATAGCTATATCAAAGTTCCTAGTACATTAATCGTCTATACTCCAGATATGAGCCCTAGTGGTTTCAACAAACCTACCATGAAATCTTCTTGATTGTGAAATATATTCCAATACCAGAAAGGTCTGTTTGTTCACTGGTTTTACCATGGTTGGTAAAACTGGTAAATTGGTTACTGGTATTGACCATGTCTCTGAGCATCATTTCCCAGTGTTACAGATATCTCTACAATGAGTACAACTAAGTGCCCTGTGTGTCTTGGAGACGCGGTTGAAGGGGACGCGGTCAGTGAGGTAGAAGAAAAGGGAATACTTTTTTTATTTTTTTTATTTATAATTTTATTGAAATTTACAACTGTATTACATTAAAAATACAACAGGTAAATGTGACATTGGTAACATGACATGTAAAATATGAAGAGAAACTACCTATTGGTAGAACTCAAATTAAAGTTCTATATTAGAAGATCCCGAGGCCATCTTCTTTTCAGACGCCTCGGAGGGTTATCAGGGATAGAAGAGGAAGCAATGTTTGAAACAAGAGGGTTCGGATGGTTCTGCAGTTTGTTATGGAAGGATAGGTATCTGGATTGGGCCAAATCGGAAACATATGGATTATTAAGGTCTTTATGGATGATTTTGTTTTGACAAAGAAGGAGCGTTGAGGATTTTATGAAGGATTTTGGATTGTAAGGATTGGATACGAGAGGAATTCAATGGCTTAGTGGAGCCCCAGAGCTCAATTCCGTAGGTCCAAATAGGTCTTATTATTGTCATATATATGAGTCGTTTGTAATTGAGTGAAAGCTTAGAGCGTTTGTCTAGTAAGTGTTGGAGTAGTCGGAAACGTCGAGCGGTTTCTTGTCGTTTCAGTCTTGTATGAGGATTCCATGTGAGTCGTTTGTCGAGGTGGAGTCCTAGGTAACGAATTTGTTCAACTGGGATAAGTGGGGAATTGTTAAAGAATACTGTAGGACAGGAGGTCATAGGTTTGCGACGCAGGGTAAAGGTAATTTGATGGGATTTATTGGAGTTTATTTTAATCCTCCAGTTTTGACACCATTCTTCAAGACTTGTGATGTGTGATTGGAGAGTTTGGGATGCAATTTATGGATCGTTGTTAACTGATAGGATACACGTGTCATCGGCATAGGTGGTGATGACAGTGTTGGGATGGGTTGGAATGTCAGCTGTATAAACTGTGTAAAGGATAGGACCTAGGATACTACCTTGAGGAACACCAGCAAATTGAGATAAAAGAGATGAACAGGCATTTTTGTGATTTACTTTGAAGTATCTATCACTAAGGTAGGAACGGATAATGAGGAAGTATGTAGGTGATAGGAATTTACGGAGTTTGTACATCAGTCCCGGATGCCAGACTCTATCAAACGCCTGTTTAACGTCGAGAAAGACTCCCGTGCAGTACATTCCGCGCTCCAATGCAGAGGAAACCACGTCTACCACACGATGACATTGCTGAATAGTGGAGTGAGATGTACGGAATCCAAATTGGTGATCTGGGACTATGTTATTAGAATCTAGGATGGGATACAGGCGTTTTAAGATGAGTTTTTCTAGGATTTTGCCCATAATGGGTAAAAGAGAGATAGGACGGTAAGAGGATGGGTATTCTGGCGGCTTTGTGGGTTTCGGTATCATTTTGACTATGGATAGTTTCCAAGAGTCAGGAAAATATGTAGTTCGGAGTACCGCATTATATATATAGGTGAGGAATAATACGGCTTTCTGAGAAAGCAGTTTTAGGATCTGGGATGTGATTAGGTCATGGCCAGGAGCTTTGCGGGAAGGTAATCTATGAATGATATTGGATATTTCTGAAGGATGAAATGCTTTAGGTGGAAGGGTCAATTGGAGTGGAATATTGAGTTCTGCTTCAATACACTCAAGGTGGATTGGATTTATGATATCTGGATGTGGATTAAATGTTTTGAAGAGGTGTTGAGCAAATATTTCAGATTTTTCTTCATCAGATCTAGACCAGGTTTGGGTTTTGGTAAGAAGTGGGTGGTTAAAATCTTTGAATTTTAAGAGCTTTTTAGTGGTCAACCATAGTGATTTGTCAGTAGTTGTTAGATTTTCTGTTAAGTTAAGTAAACTTTGGATTTTGTATTTCCTAATTTCAGCTTTTAGTTGGTTAGTTAACTTATTACTGGTTGTTTAGTTAAGTAATATGACTTGTCTGATGGGTATCTAGTCCTATGCCACTTCGATCTTGCTCTGCGTTTTTCCTTTAATAAGATACGAATGTGCTGTGGCAAGTTAGTCTGTTGGGAGTTGTTATTTTTATTGGTTGATGTGTTATCGTTAATTTTGTCACTTATAGATGAAGTAAGTACCTCGATGGCTGAGTCAATGTCATTTTTCGTCTTAAGTGGAATATTTAAGTCCAATTTATCTTCCAAGTCTTTACGAAATTTGTCCTAGTTTACTCGTCCTGTGATAAGTGAAGGAGAAAAGGAGGGCTTAGGAACAAAAGTTGAGTGCAATGAAAGCAGAACTGGACTATGATCTGAAGAGAGGTCATCCAGGGATTTGATAGTGACGTAGGAAGAGGAAATCTGGGAGGTGACAAATATGTCAAAGATATCAGGTCTTTTTTTGAGGGAGGTTGGCCTCATTGGCCTCAGGTAGGATTCATAGGTGAGAGGATGGAGTAACTATTAGAAGTTGAGACAGAAGATAGTATATTACCACGGGAGTTGGATGCTCGACAACCCCATCGTTGGTGTTTAGCGTTATAGTCTCCTCCAGCAATAAAGCGCGATCCGAAGGATTGGAATAAGGATTCAAACAGATTATAGGTAAGAATATGACCCGGAGGACAGTATGCAGCTAAAAGTGTTAAATGGAAAGGACGAGTTGAAATGATAACCGAGATTGCTTGAATAGCCTTAGTTGGAGTAGAAGGAATGAGGGAATGGGATAAGGATTTATGGATAAGGATGCAAGAACCGGCATGGGAAGTGTTGTCGGGGTGGTCTGATCTATAAGTGATGTAGTCACGTATGTAGAAATATGAACGTTGAGTGAAGTGAGTTTCTGTTAATAGAGCAATATCAATGTGTTTGTCATGAAGAAAAATGTCAAGTTCGTCTCGGTGGTTTTGTAGTCCATAAAAGAACAGCTAAGGGCTTTGTGCTCATCGTGGGAGATTGAAAGGAATTTCAGTAAGGATTCTTGTGAGGAGGGTTATTAGTGGCTTGATGGTATCTTGGAGTTCTTTCAGGAAGGAGGCAAGGGTGGATTGGATTAAGTCGATCGGGTTTTGTTGGTCAGCTAGAATTTGTGAGGGATAGCTCTTATGATAAGGAGTGTCTGATGGATGATGTACCAGTCGTGATGTACGAGAGGCTGAATCGTAATTAGATGGAATTTGGGAAGGAGAGTTAATGTGATGAATAGGATGGGAATGAACTGGAATTGGATCTTCAGGCGGTAGTTTGACACGTAGAGGTATCTGATAAGGAGAGATTGACTGACGTGATGGTTTTGAGTGCATGTGGGAGGTCTGAGTCTTGGAATGGGAAGTCTGGAGCTTAGGTTTGGAAGACTGAGGTGTCTGACGTCTCGGTTGCTGATTCTTCAGTGTGGAGTCAGAATATAGTTGTCTGGAGTCCTGATAGGGATGATTTGTTGATGTAGAAGGCTGTTGTGTAAATCGTGATGCTATTTCATTCGGCAATTCAGGAAACGTTGCCAAGCTTTGTAGTTCCGGTGCTTTTGCCTGGATAGGATTCTTCTGTTCTTGGGTTTTTAAATATATGTTATAAGTCCTTTGCTTGTATAGCTTCTTGTAAACAATGCATCCGCGATAGCTTGCAGGGTGGTCCTCACCACAAAGGACACATTTTGCTGGTTCATTTAATGGTTTCTGACATGTGTCAGAGGCGTGAGAGCCGGCACATTTGACACACCGCGCCGAGTGATGGCAGTAAGCCTTTGTGTGCCCTAAGTTTTGACACTTAGTGCATTGCACGACTATTGGTTTCTGCCTCGGTTCTTCAAATTTTATTATTGAATAAAGTAGTCTTTTAACTTCGAAGATTTCCGAATTATTCCAAGCTGGTTCCAAATCGATAAAAAATAATGGAAATGGGTATTTATCGATGGGATGTAAAACAGAAGATATATGTGGCCTATTTCTTCGAGTTCTTTTTTTATAGCGGTAGTGGGAGTGGTTGAGTGAAGACCTCTCAAAACGACCCTATATGTTTTTTCCTCTTTTAATTGGTAGTAGTGGAAGTCATAATTGTGTGATGTCAAGTGATTTATAAGTTTTTTATAGTCATCTTTGGTGTTGGTATTGATTTTTATGTCGTTGATACGAGAAAAACAACGGAAATTGGTCTGTCCGATTAGATTAGCTAATTCTTGACCGAACTGCATGAAGTTTTCAATTTTGCTTACATATATGGGTGGTGGCTCTGGTTCAGTGAAAGTCTGAGTAATTTCGATATTTTTATTATTGGCGACAACAGAATTGTTGCTGGATGTGCTAGTAGGTGGCTTAGTTTCAGCTTTCATGGTTGTATTATTTTTAGAGTTTGTTTATTTTGGTCTACTTTAGGTGGCTGCTTTGATTTAGCGGATTTATTTTTTTTTTTTATTTGGTGAGTTGCCCGCCG